CACACAAAAGGGCACGAATGAATCACGTGTGGCTTGAAAAAAATTTATTAAAAAAAAACCAACAAAAAACTAAGAATGTCGACTTGTCTTTTATCTCCACAGAAAGGGTTGGTGTCAGATGGTTTCGTCATTAAATTTAACAATCAAACGAAGTGAAAGTTCAAGAGCCAGACAAATGACGTGTTGGGGCTTTAAAAAATCTATAAATCCCCGACAAAGAGGCTCAATTATAAAGTTATTACAATACTCGAAACTCTATAATTCTTTCATTCTAAAAGAAAACTATTTTCATTTTTTTAAAATATATGACCACAGAAAATAAGACTCTTAACCTGTTTTAAGAGCGCACTTTTTCTTTTTTTCTCTGTACTTTATCCCACTGCTTCATTAGTCTTTACGAATCATCCTAGTTCCTGAGCAGTTAAAAGTAATCATATGATTATGGAGAAGGGTAAATAATGTACATTTTGTATTCTATACCGCTGAACTTATCCAAGACGACCATTCAGTGCCGAGGAGAAAAGCGGTTCTCTTGGATACTGTTATTACAATAGAGAAGAAAACCCAAGGAGGAAGTGAGAAATTGTCGTTTATACAGAAGGTTAGCCTGACGGGTGGTCGTAAGAGCAGGTTCGCACACACATTCATTCGTTCTCGGGGAGACTGAGCAAACTCGTGTAGAAATATAAAACAATAACATTGTTTTGGTGAGTGACAAAGTTTCACTTAGATTTACACAAGTAGGAAGTAAGTTATGCGGTTTGTCCACGTCATTCATCTTCTCGTGATATACATAAAAAAATAAATATAAAACAACAACAAAACAACATAATAATAATCCTGATTAACAAAGACCAGGGGAAAGAAATCATATGCATTCTAAACGTATGTGTTTATTTTACACACAGCCAAACTGCTTCAGCAGCCACGTATCAAAAGGAAATCACTTGTACAAACGACCACACCCCGCTTAACCCATTGCGTTCTTTTTTTTTTCGATTATGATTTTGCTTTTTTCGGGAAAGGAGGGGGAGGGGCTGACATTATGCCACTGTCCGACACGTTCACTTGTCCACGACAACCTCATCTCTCTTCGAAAAGGGCGGCCGTCTCAGACAATCTTGACAACAGTGTTTATTTGACAGTTGATTTTTTAGTTTTAGTAAGAGTTTTATGGCACTTGCAACGCAATAAGGTCATATAAGTGCCGAAGATCAAAGGTGTTACAAGAGAGTAACAAACACAAAAAAGAAGGAGGAGAGATCAGGACAATAGATGTTTGCGGAAAGAAACCAGAGCACCCGCCAACCACCCACACTGTTGGTTTATTGTTTTCTCCGTTGAATAGGAACTCGAATAAATATAATTATCAAACCAACAGTCGCACAGAAATACAGTTTTGAGACTATGTTTTTCTCACTACTTCCATTAAATGACCGTTACCGTTTTTCACTCACGCACGCAAACAAGCAGGCAAGCAAACACACACACACACTTATATATAGGTACATGTATATTATTACACATACTTCACGGGTCGAAGAAAATTGCCCATATAAATACTACCAGAGAGCGCAAACACAAAGGGACATTTTTTCACCTGCAGGCAACATTGTGATCCTATGAGTGATCAGCCATAAATAGTTGCCATTTTAAATTTCATTCGGTCTTCCCCCCACCCACCCCCCATAATCCCCCCCTTTTTTGACACTGTAACAATGCTATTTCCAAAAAAAATGGGGTCCACTCCGCAGGAAAATACCCCCCCC